TTTGAACTGGAATTTTTTTACCTGCCTCTCTCAGTCCAGCAGTGATAGCAACTAAAACCTTTTGGGCCACAAGTCAGACACTTTTTTACTCATTTTTGTTCTCTCGTTGCACCACTACCCCCAGTTCAGAGGCATTCTACATAATGCACAGCAAAAATCAATGACCAAACAGTTAGCACGTACAAAAAGAGAGACAAATCAATGCTCCCATATCATTAGTTAATGTATCAAATCAGAAGGCCTAGTTCTACCCAGGTACTACTTATTATCTAATATTTGTATTGCAGTAGTACTTAGGAGCCCTAGTTATGGACCAGGACTGTAGTAGGCACTGTACAAATACAGAACATAGAGATGGTCCACTCCCCACTGAGTTCTACCTATCTAGGTAAGTTATATCACTGTAGTTCTGAGCAATGAGTTTTCAACCTCATTTGCATAATTGTATTCCTCTGTAGTTCACTGTACTTAAATATACCTTCCTCATACTTCAAAACACATTCAAAGTCCAAGACTCCAATGTGAGATTTTAGTATAAAACAGTTTGCCTAATTTATGTTAATTTAAATGCTTTTGCATTGTTTTAAGAAGCTTCCTGTTCCCCCATTTCTTCCTTCAACTAATGATAACAATGGTTAACACATACAAGAAAGGATCATGGCTTATTTCAAGGTAGCTTTCTTTTATTAATAGGAATGTATATAACAAGATTGTTGGAGGAAAACAAAGACAAATATGCCCCAACATGCTTTAGAACTACACAGAAAGGAGTGGCTACATTTGCCATACAAATCAGCATTCCTATTCCAAACTAATACATAAATAAAAAGGTTCTCCAACTTTTGAGGGGATGTAATACAAATATAAATGGAAGGGGAAAAAAAACACATCATCATCTACTGAGTCATCTGTATGAAAACCTAATCCTATTGCATTGACCTTGCAATACATTAATTCTACACCACAGAGCCAGTATAAAATGTGTGTTTAAAAAAATAAGACTACCATTTTATGAACTTGACCCACTACCAAAAAAAGCCTATCTATTGAACCACTGGTCTATTTTTAACTGGACATTTCACATAGAAAGTTTACTATCTTGTTTTTATACAAATCCTATTAAATGGGCATGAAACAACATTACATTAGTCATTTCTGCAATAAAATAAGTTAATGCTCTAACAGGACTGTTACTGATAGATTTACAGAATCATATAATGTTCTAAAAGTGTATATGGAGATTACATATTCAGATAGCCTTACTGAGGCACAAAAATGTCTTATAATACGTGCAAACCATGCACTGTCTGAAAACAGATCTGACCTTATTGCGGCAGTTCACATTCTACAACAAACCCTTAAAAAATATTCAGAACCCTTAATTTCTGGGTTAAGGTCACTGTAGCAGTGGCTTTATGACCATAAATATGCAAGTTTATCCATAAGTATCTACACGTCTCTTGCAAAGAAAATCCCCACTCCAGGCCACAACTGGCTAGTCACGGTTCCACACCATTTAAAGAGGCTTCCTTATGCTCTGTCCCTGCCTGGAGGACCAAAGGATGAGTGGGGAAGTCTCTCCTTTTCCTTGTGCATCTGCAAAGGGATTGGGTACAATATTTTCTATGAGCCATACTGTCCAGTTCAGGTCACTATATCGGATTAAAGATACTGTTAAAAAAATTGAGATAATACAGTGGAGATTTATCAAAGGTGATCTATCAAAGACGATGAAAAGATTAAATGGTGATAAGGAGGGATTTACAAGAGACCTATGTAAACAACAAGAAACAAGCAGAGCACCTAACTCAAATGATCTGATCTCTGCACAAAAACTATACTCCCCCAACAACAGTATTTCTATCTAAATAATCAGAGTTAGCTGAATGTAGTTTGCCATGGTCTTCACCAACCAGGCTGTTGACAACAATATTCAGACATAGTAAAATTTCATAGACCCACTCCTTACATTTACTGCTCTTTCCCCAGCCTCCACCATCTCTCTTATTCTTGGTCTACACTAGGTCCTGATCCTGCAAACCCTTATACACATACTTAACTTTCCTACTGTGAGCAGTCCCATTGAAATCCAAGGTAGTAAAGATAAGCACAAGCGTATCCTGTTTGCAGGATAATGGCTTACACTGTAAGATCCTTGGGGCAGGAATTTTCTTTATCTTCTAGTAAAAAAAACCATGCATACCTATGGTCCTACATAAATTATAACAACGTGGGAAATTGGTTCAATTAGAATTGTTAAATCTTGATAGAAAATGGCTGAGAGGTGACAGGACTTAACATTTAAGTTACCTCTGAGGTACTAAACTGGTTAAGTCTGATGATCTGTTCAAGGTCATTCAATAGGCCAGAACTAACGGTTGTAAGGTTTGAGAGAACTATAACAAGAATTCAAATGAGGTATTATTTTGCAGAAAAGTGAAGAGGAAGAATGGACTTCCAACTGGGATGACAGACACAATCAAGATTACTTTACTTAAACTTGGTAAGCGTATTGACTTTTACATGAGACATTAAGCAGTTTTGTCTCTGAAGTAGGCAGCCTACCCTCAGGGGGCAATGAGGACCTGTCCAATTTGGTTATGGTCTATGAGACTATTTTTGCAACACTCTGGTACAAAAAGTATAAGTGTTTTTAAATCTGAAAATCTCTGTAAAAAAGTGGGAATGATAATTCTTGGCATGAAGGCTGACAGCTGCTTCTGGCACTTGATCTAAGATAATTACTAGTACTTATCCATGGGTCCAATCCTACTTACAATGAAGTTAACAGGCAGTTGATCATTGACTTCAATAGAAGGAGGATCAAGCCCTATATATCACTATAACTTGTAAATTCTTTCTCACAGAAGGGAGAGAGGGGGCAAATATAATGCAATATTGTTGGTTCCGAGTCAAATTTACTTACACTTGAAGAATTTTAAGTCACAACACTATAAATTTATCTCTTCTAAGCGATTTCAAATATTATAAAACAAAACATTTTTGTGTTGCATTTTAAAAAAGAAATATGTATGACAAACTGGAGAAATGGGCTGAAATAAATAAGATGAAATTCAATAAGGACAAATGGAAAGTATTACAGTTAGGAAGGAACCAATTGCACAAATACAAAATGAGAGATGATTGCCTAGTAAGGAGTACTGTAGAAAAGGATCTGGAGGTTTTAGTGAATCACATACTAAATATGAGTCAACAATGTAATGCTGTTGCTTTTTTTTTTTTTTCCAAACATACTTCTGGGATATATTAGCAGGAGTGTTGTAAACCGGACACGAGAAGTAATCGTTAAACTCTATCCAGCACTGATAAAGCCTCAAAACGAGTATTGTGTCCAGATCTGGGTACCACATTTCAGGAAAGATGTGGACAAATGGAAGAAAGTCCAGAGGAGAGCAACAAAAATGATTAAACGTCTAGAAAACATGATCTACAAGGAAAGACTGAAAAAATGGGTTTGTTTAGTCTGGAGAAGAGAAGATTGGGGGGGACATAACAGTCTTCAAGTACATAAAAAAATGTTATGAAGAGGAAGGTGATAAACTGTTCTCCTTAACTATGGAGGCCAGGACAAGAAGCAATGGGCTTAAACTGCAGCAAAGGAGATTTAGATTAGACATCAGGAAAAACTTCTTAACTGTAAGGGTAGTTAAGCACTGGAACAAATTACCTAGGATGGTTGTGGGATCTCTGTCATTGGAGGTTTTTAAGAACAAGTTAGACAAACATCTGTCAGGGATGATCTAGATAATACTTAGTCCTGCCTCCATGCAGGGGACCAGACTAGATGACCTATCAAGGTCCCTTCCAGTCCTATACCTCCATGATTCTACAAACACTGAGCACTTAAAATTAAAATAGGCACAAAGTCCCTGCGCAGATCTAGGACTAGATATATAGTCCTGTACTGATCAAAAACAGCACAGAATAAATAATCCAACCTTTTAGAACCAGAGTCATATTGCATCTGCATGTCTAAGAATTTCCCATATAATGACTACTAATTGAACTAAATTATTCCTACATATTCCAAATTTCCCTCAAAAACCTCATCTAACAAATAAAAAGGGAGAATTGCATGCTACTTACTCAAGAGAAATTGTGTTTACATTTTGCTTTCAAGAATTTAATAAATACACAAACAATCTATCAACTGCAGTCTTGAATAAGTAATAACTGTTTACAAAACAAAACTCAGTGTAACTCCGGCTCAGGTTGGGAGCAGAAGCATAAATAGATCCTAAGACACCATTAGGAGTTTATAGAGTTCCTAACAAGTCATTCCTTTACCATGTACAGCGGACATTTATTTACCCTCCAATACCAACTGACACGGGGGTTCAAAGATTTTTTTTGTAAAGTTATTTGATAACTATTTTTCCTTCTGAAACAAAAAACCGCTTAAACGACGGAGTTCCTCCAGCAGAATCACCCCCGGCCCAGGGAGCCCACCCCCGGTTGGGGACTGAACAGCAACACAGAAGAGCCAGAAACGCATTCCCCCGTTTCCACCCACGCAGAACCGCATCAGCGAGCGCCAGCGCCGAGTCCGCCCTTACCCGCGTGTAAACACAGCCACCCCCTAAAACGGGAGACGGTCAGGAGAGCAGCAGGAGAGGCGCCGGCTCCAGACCGGGGGGTCCGAGTCCTGAGCCAAGTGCCAACGGCAGTGACCTAACCGGGCTGCGAGGAGAAGCAGCAGCGCCGCTGACAGACGCGATTGCTCCCTGGAGAATGGGAGGGACGGCGTGTGGCAGGGGGTGGCACTGAGCCCGCTCCCCCGGGCACCTCCCTGTCCGTGTGTCCCATCCCCGGACCTGGCCGGGGGACGCACTGGCAGAGGGGGCTCGGCGCTGCGTGTTGGGGGAGGCGGCCGGGGCGCTACCCGCACGGCTGCTGGCTGAGAGGGGGGTCAGCCTGGGGAGAGCTCCCCCGACCGGTCCCTCGCCTCAGCCCTGCAGGGCCCCTCCGCCGACACTCACCTGCTAGCGCCTCTCCCGCAGCCTGGTCCCGCGGGCGGCGAGCCCTGAGCAGCAGCTACGCGGGGCGCCCCATGCCGCACGGGGCCCAGCTCCGGCTGCCGCTGCCGGCTCTGCGCTGCGCAGCCAGGGCAGGAAGGCGGGGAGGGGATTGCGGGGGCCGGCGTCTCCACAGGGAGAGGGATGGAGGCGAGCGGAGCCTGCGCGCTGGAGCTGCGGGCGGGCCGCTGGCGTTGACACAGCAGGATCGGGGTCGGGCCCCGAGGCGGCGGCAGCTGCCCAGGCTCTGCCCAGCCGGCAGGGGAAGGGGGAGGGGAAGGAGGCGGCGGCTTCGCCGCCGGGGCGCACAGCAGCCCGGCTTGGTGGGGGAGGCGCTGTCGGGCTGGCCGGGGTTTGAATCTCAGCCGGCCCATGACACCCAGCCACTTCTACTGCCCGGGGCTGGGTTGTGCCGCAGAGCAGCACTGATACGCCAGGCTAACTGGGGCTCGCTGTCTCCTGCGAGCGGCCCCTTCTGTCTGTCTGTCGCTCTCCAAGCACCGGGACAGAGGAGGGTGCGGGGACTTGGAGCCAGTGTCACAAAAAACAAAGCGCGGGGGAATCATTGGGCTGTTATAAACACTTTGATCACCGCTTTCCCCTTCCTCCCTCTGTCTCGGAGCCCTGATCCTGCCATCAGAGAGAGAAATGACTACTAGTTTCCAGTTAGCTGAGTGAAGAGCAAAATGTAACCAACCAACCACAAAGATTTCTAAAAACACTGCACAGAGTCAGTTTCACAGTTTTCCCGCTATGATCGTGGATTGCTGCATCCAGGCAGATCTGATTGCAGGATCAGGTCCTTGCCCAGTAAGCCTTTATAACAGGAAGGTGCATTCCCTTATATTCCTTTAATACATCATCTTTGTGCCCAAGTTTTGCTGTGATAATGGTATAAACCACATTCCCATTTTAGACTACTGTGTATTTTGTATTAAATATGATAATTTTAATACAAATATTCTGCAGATGAAAGGCTTGGCTTATCTTCCACAGCCTGGTGCTCCTGATCTGTAACAAACAACTCACACTTGTTTTTTCATCCTGTCTTATCTTGCTTCCTCTCCCATCATAACATAGTACGGTGGGCTGCCACAGTTAAAGCAAAACTTATTTGCATCTATTGCATTTTACCTTTAGGGCATTTATTTTACTGGTTGCATTACCTCTGGTTTCCCAATAAAGAATTTGCTGTCTTGAAGGGCTGAATTTTGGAACACATACTGAGCCTTCAAAAACAAAGTGTAGAAGTATGATCTAAATTCTGGTTTCAGAGTAGCAGCCGTGTTAGTCTGTATCCGCAAAAAGAACAGGAGTACTTGTGGCACCTTAGAGACTAACAAATTTATTAGAGCATATGCATCCGAAGAAGTGGGTTGTAGCCCACGAAAGCTTATGCTCTAATAAATTTGTTAGTCTCTAAGGTGCCACAAGTACTCCTGTTCTTTTTTATCTAAATTCTGTCACTGACCTTTATAGAAGCAGGGTCAAACCCTTGGGTGTTAGCATTCTGGACTGCCAGTGAAGAGGATTAAAATTCACTGGTAATAGGCTAGCTAACTTGTTTTACTGGTTATTACTTATAAAATAACTTCTCTGTTGACTAGGTCAGAGAAAACTTGCTAGTGGGTTGTAAATGTCAAATGAAAGTGAGCAGCACAGGCAGGGGCTTTTTCCTTAATGAGAATTTCCTGGAGCCATTTAGTCTTGCCTTTAAAGACATGTTGAATTTATTTATGGCAGGAGAAAGAAACGGATGCCTTAATGGTGTGGGACTTTTCCTCTACGCATTGTTTCCCATTTCCGCAGTTGTATTTGGCAATCACTTTCCTCCAGCTAATGAAGAATACGAGAGAAATGATGTGCTGAGAAGTAATATTTTGCATACTCTGTGCTATGCACATTTGATAGTGTATGGAGTTTTGCCAAATAGATTATATGAACATTTTAAAAAATTGCCTGGCCTATTAGCTGATATCAGTACACGTGAAACCTGTGCAATGTAAGTACATGTTGTCTTGGAGGCCCTGTTAGATGTGATAGGCAAGTCTTTTTTATTAACTTTATAATCCCTTCTAAAATTTATATTTATAATGCAGTTATCAACAAGGCAGCTTTGGGGCCTGAGTGCCTGCTCTCATTGAAGTCAATTGCAAAACTCACATTGACTGCAATGGGAGCAGGAGCAGGTCCTTTTATAGAAGGCATCATTCTTGCAAGAATAGGTTTTTAGGAACATTGGATAGTGGATATATTTTTGGTACATTCACAAGGCAACAGCTTTTGCCTAAGAAATCTCAGTGGAAGCATCTGTGTGTTGCCAAGCTGCTTCCCGAGCTATTCTTGGACCAGAGCAGCCTCTAAGGAATTCCATAATTAAGACTTTTAAGATATCTCTCCATCATTAGGGACCCAATCCTGCAAATCCCAGGGATGAGCTGGCAATATGTTATCAGGGAGTCTCCACAAAACTTCCTGTTCTCCTTTGCCAGTGATAAACTCTGTGGACAATTTAAGAGGTGCACAAGTTTACAGAGAAGAGCAATGAAGAACTAAACATCTGTATCCTCATTTAATTTAAATAAATTACATTAATAAATTGTACATTCTCATGAATGTAAAAAAAGAGAAAGGTAAATCACATGGCCAATAAAAAATTAAATCTAATGCACAAGCTGGAAATGTTTATACTTTACTTACGTTCCGTTCCTGAAAAACATACTAAGTGAAATTAATTACAGTTATGGCAAAAGTCTCATTGGCTTAAGTGGAGCCAGGATTTCACCCACTGAGAATACTGAGGCTACTGATAATTCAGCAGATGGATTGTGCTCCCTGTGCTGCAGGAAACACTACATCTATCTTTAACACCCATGCTGCAAACTTTATTCAATTAATACGTATTGCAATGTTAATCAGCTATTTGAATGATTAAATGCTCTATGAGGGAGCCTTTGTCTATTAAAATATTCTGCATGATGTACGCTAACTCAGTATATTGCAGGATTGATCCCTATATTACACTGCTAGTGCAGTATCCAATGGGATTACTCACATGATTAAAGTTAAGCACATGTTTAAATGCCATGCTTGATCAGATAGCTCAGCGACTTACAGTACTATATGAAACCAATCCTGCAAGTCAGTGGAACAAGATACAGAAGAGGTCTTGAAAGAAACCAGTGCAACTAAATATAAATTTCTAAATAAAGGATAAAAGACAAAAAAATGGTAACAGTCTTACTAACTGTGTAGTGGTGAGTGGAATTTAAATCTGATTTATGGATGTGAAATTAAACTGATTTACTTTAGTGTGCAAAGTAGTAGAAAGAATTTGGGAACTTTAATTAGAACATATACAACCAGAAGATTTATGAGTGCAACTATTTTGAATCCTTCCATTGGCTTCCTCATTTCACCACAGCCAGTTCAAGCTTCTTGCCTTGAGGGATAAGACTGTTCACAACTCTGCCCTTCTTTGCTTATCTGTTCTTGTCCTCTATTGTGTCTTCTATATCCGGTCACAGTGATATCAGCCTTGTCTGTCCAGCTTCTCACACAAATATCTCCATGCCTCATCAATCCTTTGATTTCCCTCTTCCTTGAACCCTTGAACTAATCTTTAAGGCTACTGCCCCCCCCCAGCCTTCAAATCTCTCCTCAAGACCAACCTCTGCTGCCATGCATATGAGAAATCAGACAATCAGGAGTAGCTAGGGTGGAGGGAAGGGGGGAAGTGATGCTTACTTTATGATTTTTTAAAAGCTTGATTGGTTCCCTCTCACATCCTTTATATGTTACTTCTTAGGCCTCAATCCTGCACTGTGTTGTGCTGGAATGGACTGCTGTACCCACCTAGAGCTTCAATAACTTCAATGGGACGCCATGCAGACACAGCAGTCCACCCAGGTGCAATAGTGGCAGGATCCAGCCCTTAGATTGTAACCTCTTGGGAACTAGGGCCATGTCTTCATCTGTATATGGATAGTGCGTGGCACAATGGGGCCCCAATTCTGGTTGAGGCCTCTGGGTCCTATAAATATTAAATAGTAATCATAATTCCTGAGAAGCTAGCCTTACTAATAGTGGGCCCAATCCTGCTCCCATTGAGGACAGTGGCAACAGTCACTTACTTATATGGAAGCAGCCTCAGGCCCAGAACGTATAGCTTTTCAAATATCATTTTTGGGTTGTGTCTCACAAATGGCTTTGGTTAACTTCAATCCTGTTAAACCAGAATAAAGGGATTATATTTCTTGTGTGAATACACATTGTAACCATTTAAATATTGATGGAGAGAAAATAAAACCTCTAACATATTTAAAAATAAAGTTGAGAAACATTTTCATACAGATAAACGGATATTTGTCTAGGGCAAGCTAAATTGAGAGCAGCTTTGTATCCCTTCTATAAATTTTTAATAAAACAGAGTTGTTTTTATTCTGTGTTGTGCCTTTATTTTTACAATAAAAAGGAGGAAAACATTTGTATTAGTATAACGTACGTAATCCTAGCCTGAGTACCGTACCCACTTAATTATATATCTGAGTCCATCCTCAAACATCCTCCTGGTATATCTTACATCCTCACTTCTCTATCCTGAGCATACTTTAGGCCCTGATACGGCAATGTTCTCCTCACTGGCAGGCTTCTGCCCCTATATGGCTCCCCATCGAAGTCAAGGGCCTCAGAGGCGCAAAGTTTCTGAGTTCCTAGGAGGTGCTCAACCCCCTCTCCACCCCAGCCCCTGCCCCACTCCACCCCCTACCCCCAGCCCCCCCACTCCACCTCTTCCCGCCTCTTCCTGTCCCCACTCCTCCCCCCCAGTGCCTCCTGATCCGGGGGCGGGGGGGGAGAGGGGAGGAGCTGATTGGCGGGGATGCTGAGCACCCACTTTTTTTTTTCTGTGGGTGATCCAGGCCCAGAGCACCCACGGAGTCGGTGCCTATGAAGCGGGGGGAAAAGGGGGAAAGGGATAATTTAGGATCAGGGCCTTCGGGCAAAGACCTATTTTCTGTGTGTTTCTGTGATACACCTAGCACACTTACAGGCACTATTAAATAAAGATTTTTACCCCTTACTCCTAACATTTAGAATGTGGAAAGAGGTGGATAGTCTGTTCTTATTTAAGGCCTGGATATCTCCATTTTCCACAACATTTCCCAGTGTTTAAATTATTCAGG